CAGCAGGACAGTGGCAGCAGCACCCAGGGAGGACTGGGGTGACACCCACGTGAGGGTCTGTGGTCCCTGTTTTGTGCACCCACACACCACAGCCACTCCAGAGCAGCGCTGCACTTGCCCTCAACCCAGCCCGAGGAAGAGCAGAGAGCAAGTGCTGGGTCAAGGCAGCAGACAGGCACTGCTCCCAACCCCCCATTTCAACAGATTTACTTCATGCTTAGGGACACATCAAGAGGAGACGGTCTGGAACGGAGCGCAGGAGGCAATGCCTGTATGAGTGTGACCGAGCTACAGAACTTGTACATACAAGATGTGATTTACTCCTTTGTTTGAAAACATCATGTTACCTTCAGTGCAAAAAAGTATGGCTGTACCTCCGCCATCGTGCTCCTCTCCCTCACTCCTTCCCACCAGCACACGTACATCGCTGGGAGGTGACATACACTGGAGCAGAAGCGGGACAGGAGCTGCTGCCTGGGACCTTAATGACCATAAGAAAGAGAAGGCTCAAGACACTTTCTCACAGCCCTGCTTCATTTAGCGGCATGGAAGTAACACAAACCAGTTTCGGTCCTTTAATCTGTCCAAGACAGGGTGCTGAAGCACAAATGATAAAACATTCTGCATTTTTACAGCAAAAATGCTACAGAAGTTTATAGGAAAAAAAAAATATTTTTGTACATGGGTAAAACATTATAAATTCAAGACAACTCACAGACAAGGGGTAAATTCCCACATCTATCGCCCATTTTTTAAAAAGTTCGTTTGAATCAGCAAGCAGTCAAAATGGCTTGCTCTCTCTTCCTTGAAATGAAAATTGTATCTTCCAAGTGGCTCACAGCACTGCTTCGCATCTTGGAATGTCCTCCGAAGGCTCCGCCAAGACAAAAGGAGAATAAAAACCCCCGGAGTCCTTTCAGATAGTCTCAGAGAGCAGGAGAAGGGAAAGGAAAGGGGAAATTTTATTCAAACTTTATCTTCTTCCCTTGCGGCTTGTGATCTCCACCTCCTCCTCTACCTCCTCGGAAGCCACCTCCTCTACCTAGAAAGAAAAGCAGGTCAGGAAGCAGAGTTACAGGTGTCCCCGCACAGATACCACTGCCCTTCCAAAACCCCTCCCAATTCACATCAAGCACTCTGTGGCAGCTCCATACATAATCCCAAGAACAACTCGGGATTAACTTTTGAACATGCCCTTAGAACAGCAGCATTTGTCTCTCCTCACCTCCAAATCCTCTGCCACCACCTCTGCCACCAAATCCACCTCTTCCTCCTCGGCCTCCTCCTCTGCCGCCACGACCACCAAATCCACCACCACGTTGAAATTCACCCTTTGGCTTCGCAAAATCAAGGATCACTTTGTTTCCATCTATCTCTCCGTCCTCCATGGCTTCTTTAGCTGCTTTGGCATCTTCTGGGGAGCTGAAGTCCACGAACCCAAACCTAGGGAGCGGGTCAAGAGACAGATGGTCAGACTCCGCAGAGCTGCAGCACCGCCTGCGGGGACTTGACAGCAACCCCTCTGCAAACAACCGCCCACCCTTCTGCAGCCACCCCCGCAGGACCAGTCGGTGTTACTGTCGAACAGCAGTGGCTATCACAATCGATGGGAGCCCCGTTGTGAGTCTGCCACTACCGAACCGTTAAT